AACCATCTCTTTCCAAACAGCTAGTGTGATTAATCGTCAGTTCAACCCAAACACTTCCCTGTAGACAAGACTTGGAAAAACTGAAATATCCTCATGGGAGTTAACTTGACTTAAAAGAGAGAAGTTTCCTGCTTGAAATTAATTAACCACTTATGGAAAATGTCCAGTGTGCTTTAATGGAAATGAAAAACCCTTGTCTAACAAAACTTCTATTTAAAACATCATTTATAATTGTTGGATCATACGTGGGAGAGATGAAAGAATCTTAAATCTTTCATCAAAATTTTGTGTATTATATAATATTGAGTATCACAACTAACAAATATCACCATCAGATGAGACTGAATTTTCCCAAAACTCAAATATTCACACAGCACTAAAATATAATACATTTTTGTGGTCTACATGAAATTTTCACTGTATAACTGAATGCTGAAAATCATTGAGGCATTTGAGCTTTTCAATAACAACTGATTACTGCAATTGTTTTTCATACCGCAATCTATGGAGTCAGCTACATTGTTTCATTAAAATACAAACATTTTACAGAGCATTACCCAAGACACAGCAAATGTTCTAAAATATGAAACTCAGATTGAAATTATGCAGAAAGATAAGACGTCACATGCTGACATCTTTTGATCTATTCACATACACCTCCACTCACCTGCCACTTTCAGTCTGACGTCCGAGGGGAGATGTTTAGCAAGGCATCCAAGAACAGTGAGAACTCTACCCATAGTGCTGAAGTCTACCTCTGAAAACAAAAGGAATCCAGTTATCACATCATTTGCGTTTCAATAGATATACATTTTTATATTATTATTACCAAACCACTGTATTCTTGTAAGGGATATTGCCTCATACAAATATATATCTGTCATTCTTTGCTAGTGGTTACAAAATGTTGAATTTGGCCAAAAATTTCAAATGTTCTCTGGGAAGCTGTAATTATGCGATGTGATAGCTACACAATCAACGTTTATCATTTCATAAAAAGGGAAACAACAGATGCCCTTTCTATGGCACACAGGGGACCTCTTACTAAACTGGAATATTATCAAAATTCAAGTTTGCATGCTTCCTTCTGCTGCAGTAACAAAATTGATCACCTGTGGCAGACGACATGTTGGTATCCCAGTAGTCCAGAACAAAGCTTGAGTTAAACTTGCCAAGATGGGGCGCCATCTCAGCCAACAGCATCCAGACCCCCTGGGAATGAAACAGCAGACGTCAGACGACATTTGTGATGAAGAAAAGTGAAACGTGGAATCTAAGTGTCATTCAGTATTCACTTGTTATAGATGGCATTTATCATTCAAAATAGCTGCTTACAACAAGACAAAATGTTTAAAGGTATTTCTAAGTTAAATTAATGGAATATATTGTTTTACATTTAAATCATTCATTCAAAACTTCCAAGTATTCAGAATAAGTATACAAACAATAAACAAACACTGCGACTATAAACGGAATTGTAAAGAAACTTACTGCATTGTTTTCTGTCCCTATATGTGTCTGCAGTACGCTGACCACACTGGCCTTCAACTGACCTTGGCGAGACAGGTGCTGACACGCCCTCTGCAGGAATCGTCTGGAAATAAATATTACATTTATTCTACTGTGTGAAGTTTTGATTTAGACAGCTTGGCAAATGTTACTGCCTAACCAAACACTTGGAATTAAATCTTGCAAACTCAGTCATAGAGACTGGCCATAAGACTTTATTTAGACTGGAAAATTTTAAAAATCCATATCTTACCTCAGGTCCACACCTTCATTTCCCGCCATGATCCCCAGAATGCTCCACGCCATCTTGTGCTCAGGCTCTGTGGACCTGAAAATGTGCGCCACGATGTCAGCTTTTCTTTATCAATAACAGTAACAGTTCTGTGTGAGACCCGTAATGAGTATTGGATGTTGAAAGGTGATGCTGTTGTCTTTATGATTCATAACCCATTTGCTAAGACTGATTACTCTGTATTCTTAAAGGCCAATCTAAGTTATAAAACTCAACATTTCACAACAATCCATAAGTACATGAGTCAGCCAATACATTTTACTCTTCAGATCTAAACAAAATATGGCAGTATAATATTTCACATAATTCAATACCACATTTCAATGTTGTCCTTTACCTGTGATAAGGCACAATGTTGTTCAGCAGAATGTCCTGCACTATCTCCATACACCTCTCCTGGGCTCCTGTCTCCCTGTCCATCACCATGGGGAGCACACCGTCCAGCCACAAGCTGAGGAGGTAAACATTTTGACAATACAGCATTACTGAATGTGTGGTCATTAATAATATTCTGTAACAGTTATCTTGTCCACTGCAGTGGGATGTGAGTATTGCATCCAGTTGTAAGTTAGGAAATATTGAGCTTATGACTCTTTTTAAAGTAAGGTTTAAATTTATAACACATGCCAGCACACACAGAGAAGCTACAGTTATTTTTCAATCAAATCAGTGGATACTCAAGTACACATATCAGTTATGATTCAATCTTTTGAAACATCCATCCAAACATTTCATGCATCCATATTATTTCCAAAAGAAAGAAATCCCACTGTCACTTACCTCTGTACCGTCCTGTTATCTGGCATCTCTGAGAGGAGTTGTGTCAGTGACATCATGGCCTGCTTCCTCACGGACAGTGCTGGGTCCTGGCATCTCTCGTTTAGAATGTCCAGGTCCTGTGAGAATTAGTATGATACAAGAACAGTTTAAGAAGCTTAGAGATAAACATATCCATTGTAAATTAAGATGTGAAATAGTATTTAGACTATAATAAAATGAAATAATATTTCTCCTGTTTTCATTCTTTCACCGATTTCAAAGGACCAACACTTGTACGATTAACTACCATTGGTGTATTATAAAGAAGCACATTGTCAAGTTTAATTCTTGTTTCTAAAGGCTGTATGATATGCAGGTGCTTCCTGACATACCACTGAGCTCCTCACCTGTTTGTTAAAGGCAGCTCCCTCCATCCTGATGACATTCTCCAGTGCCTGGAGAGCAGCTTTCCTCACGTTGACCTTCTCGTCACAGGCACGCCTTCGCAGCATAGACACTACTCCTTTACCATCAGCCAGAGCTGGTAGGGAAAAATAACCTTCAGTGTCAATTGTCTTACTTTGAAATGATCTTTTTTCATGGCAAACTGCTGGACTACAGTTTTAGTCAGCATAGACTTACTTGAAAAATATTCACATTTTGACTAGCAAAAAAATAAAACTTCTATAGAGAAGTAATCATTCAAAATTTGAGAATATTTCATTATGACCTGCTCATTTCTGAACAAAACTAGCATAAAACCCAGACATTACAGAACCTGCAGTGAAATTGCTCATTTGCAAAAAAGTCAGAAGAAGAAATTAAACATAAAATTTTTAGATGTGCTTGCTTGTACTTAAAAACGTGATGTAAACTTACAGAACTCTGCTCCCGGTGTAAGCTGTACCGCCAGTGCCGCCACAGGCAGAGGAGTACTCTCCTTGGGGTCCACAGTAGCAGCAGCAGGGGGGCCTTCCAAAGCCTGTCCTTCTGTTGCAACTGTCTTGTCCGATGTCTCGTCAATGGTCTTATCTGAGCTGGTTTCTGTTTCTTGAGGGGCGTGACCCTCAGAGCCTTGACCCTCTGAATAAATACAAATATGGTCCGACTTTTCATTGGCTAAATTTTTGCAGGATTTCAAGATTTGGGAGCTCAGGTCAGAAAATCATGTCCATTTCGATTAAAGAGAAAAAGAGAACTGTTGAACATTACATAATGAAGCAAAGTCAAATGAAAAACAATGATGAAATTCATGCCACCATCCATCCACTATTTGGAAAAAAGACAATCTTCAACTAATACTACCTCTGACTTCAAATACCACAACAGCTATGGGTGGTTTTATAAAAGTTATGATAAAGTCTGTGTGTGTGCATAGCACATAAAAAAGAAACCTGTCCAAACCTGAGGCCGGTGCTGTCCGCTGCGTCTCAGGGGTTGGCACCACTCTCGATATTGGTACTCTCCCCAGGGGGCCGTTCCTAGGGGTAAACATCTCCTTAATGGTCAGACCTACGGCTGAGTCTTTAGATGCCACACACTGGGAAAACCCTGCTATGGCACGGGAACGCACACTAAGTACAGGAAATACAATATACATTTATATCGTATTTAAAATATAAGGCAGCAAAGCTGTCAAATGGACAGACACATTGATGGACAGACACACTGATAAAACTGATAGAAGAAGTAACATCAAAATTCATCTAAAAATGATAAACAACAATTTAACAAACATTTAACAGTGAAAGTGCAAAAAATTAACAAAATACACATTTATATGCTATTTTGAAATTAGATTTCTGACTGAGAAATGACCGAGCTGTAAGTATTGAAATAAGTGAGTTATTTGACATTATAGAATACCTGGAGTTGACATCAGAGCACCTGGCTAACACCATCTGTATCAGGAAAGACTGGCTCATATATAATTATATTGAAATAAGTGAGTTATTTGACATTATAGAATACCTGGAGTTGACATCAGAGCACCTGGCTAACACCATCTGTAT